AGAGAGAGAGAGAGAGAGAGAGAGAGAGAGAGAGAGAGAGAGAGAGAGAGAGAGAGAGAGAGAGAGACTAAGGAAACAACGGAACATAGCTGTGTGATATCGAGTCCATGTGGATACTAGACAGAGCTGCGATGAGGGAAGACGGAGAGAAAAAGCGCGTGGCGATACGCTTCGCCTCTAGGTTCGTCCTGCTGCTGGTGCTGTGCGTTGGCCGGTCATGGGTTTGGCTTGGTGGATTGTCGGTGGAGGCTCATGCAACTGCAAAGGAGCCAGTTTTGGAGCTGTCACACAACGGTGCGTCGAAGCGGAGCGGTCTTTCCGTGCGTTCTCTGCGAGGCGGTGAGGAGGACAGCGACCCCGGCGCTATCGGTGGTGGAGGCGAGCACAAACTCATCCTTTCATTGTCGCCCGCAGCAGCAGTGGAATGCGATTCGCAGCCAGCTCAATGGTCGAGATCCAGGTACGGAATGTCGGAGAGCAGGCGTGAGATAAGATTGCGATCGGGGGAATCGCGATCGCGATCGCGATCAAATGAACGTACGTGGAGGCTCGGCTTACCATCAAGCGCGTCGCGATCGCGATTGGCTAGGACGAGGGGAGTACGTGGGTCAGGCTGCATTTCTTCTGTGACCTCTCAGACTGCTTCACAGTCAGAGAGCGGAGGTGGGAGAAGGCAGACGGAACAGGAGGAGGAGGGGGATGACGTAGCCCGAGCCAGCGATGGCGACCCGGGACATCGCCTCCTACCCTTCACCCAGTCTCGAAGAATGGCTCGAGATGCTGTACGGACACTGGGTGGGAGAAGGCAAACGAGCCGTGACGGTTCCAGGCTGTACGGACACTGGCCGGGCGATGAGAGGCTGTACGGACACTGGCCGGGCGATTCATTGCAAGATGCATTCGGCTTGAGTGGACGTCTGCGACCCCGCAAAGTGATGATGATGAGTGGCGGCGGTGACAATGGAAGCAGCCATAGCCAGGTCGACGAAGACGAAAGCCAACCCCAGGTACAGGTCCTTGAGGATGGCACACTGGAGGTAGTCATAAGCGACGGAGAGCACTTCGTGCAAGAGATCCAGAACTACGAGAACGAGGGCACTACACTGAAGAAGAAGACGATCAGAGTGCGGTGCGATTTGGTGCTCCCGCCAGTGCCGTTGCGTATCAACAGCAGCGGGATCTTGACAGTGAAGGGGGAGTGCTGGCAACGGGTGTGTGTCGTCCGATCGAAGTCGGTCGGCAGTCTCCTTCTTTACGATGGGCTAGGCAAGGCGGGAGACGACTCAGTCTCGCTGACGTTCTCCAACCTGGACTTCTATGAGGTTGGCTTTGAGTACCGCCACGCCAATGTGAAACTCATCAACTGCTCCTTTGTCAACTGCCGTCCAATCGACTTCAAACACGATGGGGATGGTAATCTGACGCCGGCTACGACGTCAAACGGCGGCGGCGGCGGCGGCGGCGCTGACAGACTGGTCAAGATCAGGGGGTGCTCCTTTCGGGACAACCTGGGGGGCTTGCGACTTCTCGACATGCCCGAAACTGTGTGCATCTCTCACTCTGTCTTCTACTCCATGCGGGAAGATGATGTCCTAGTCGTTAGGACGAACACATTCGCCGACGTACAGAGAAGGCTCACTATCTTCAACTGCACGTTCGGATCCTTGCAAAGACCTGCTGGGTGGAACACGGTGCGTATAGAAGCAGTGAATACCGCTTCTCCATCCCTCTTATATGCCCGTAAATCAACCTCCGAGTCCAACACATCAGCCACCGTCGAGGGAGCTAACACAACCATATCCTTTCTGAACTCCACTTTCTTCGACTTCTCCAGGGTTGCCGTCTTCGCCGGTAATGGTACATCGTCGCCTGCCGCGGAAGTGCCGTATCTGTCCTTGCGATTCTGCTCCTCGACGTGGGCCTCGCACTCCGAAATCCCATCCCTACCTGCTGGTACACTTGCCACTCCCTTGAGCAGCAGTATTCTAAGCCTCCCACATAGCCTGGCGATCTTCTGCCCATTGCAATCTACGGACGGGGTGCAGACAGCAAACCCTCCAGAAACAAACTCCTCCTCCTCCTCCTCCTCCTCCTCCTTCTCCTCTGCGTGTGCGGGTTGTACTGAGTCCATGGCGGGCAGATGCGAAGTAGGGGATGGGGATGACGACAAGATGCTGTTTCCTTCTGCTCCCGGTTTGCTCAATCCCATGGGTCCTCAGGCGGACCGGGGTTGGGATGGAGGACGCCGAGGAGAAGGAGGACAACGAGGCGAAGGGTCTAACAGAGCTCTGGCAACCATTTTGGCCGTGACAGTTCCGTTGGCAGCGGTTATGGTGCTAGCGACAGCGGCAGGCGCGAAGAGATGGTCAAGTAGACATCGCCAACGGGTGATCGGTGGCCGCACACCTACTACGACAGTTACGGGTAGCAGGAGGGACAAGCAACACGAGGAATTGCTTCGGTTGCGGGTGTTCACCATCAAGGAGCTGAGGGAGGCCACGACCAACTTCACCACGGTGGTCGGTCGTGGAGGGAGCGCAGTTGTGTACAAGGCCACGCTGGCCTCGGGGGAGCTGGTAGCTGTCAAGTCCCTCAAGCGCGAACACTGGCGTAATGAGCACGAGTTCCTGCATGAAGTGTGCATCCTTGGGCGAATCGCGCATAGAAACCTCGTCCTCCTCCTCGGATACTGCAACGAGGAAGAAAGGTACTTCCTTGTCTACGAATTCGTGCCCAATGGTACCCTCAAGGACCACCTCCATCAGCATGATGTGAAGTCCTCCACCTCTGCACCTTTGTTGTTCCTAGATTGGCCAAAGAGGGTCAGGATTGCACTGGAGATAGCCAGAGCTCTGGAGTACCTGCACCATCTTCTGGATCCTCCTTTGGTCCACAGAGACATCAAGCCTGAAAACGTCCTCCTGCTGCAGGACTGTGTGCCCAAAGTTGCAGACTTTGGGCTTTGTCGCAAGTTCAATCCTCAAGAAGACGGGAGCGAGTGCCTGCTCACCAATCCCGCAGGTACGGTGGGGTACATGGCACCAGAAGTGTTTACTGGGTTCACGGTGACGGAGAAGGTGGACGTGTTTAGCTTCGGAGTCTTGCTACTCGAGATAATCACGGGCAAACGTCCCTTCTCGAAGGACTTCTCGCTCATAGTGTGGGTGAGGAAGACGGCCAGGGACGAGGAATCTGCTAAGGCACTTGCTGATCCCAGGCTGGAGGGGGCTGTAGACTCCAGGCAGCTGTACTTGCTGACCCTCCTCGCAAGGAGATGCCTTCAGCGCAAGTCCACCAGCAGACCCAGCATGCTCAATGTGGCCCGTGCGTTAGAGCGCATCCAAGGGATGAGCAGCAACGAGAACATGGAGAATGTGGTTAGGGTACTTGAAAGGATTCAGGGGGAGAAGAGGGACGATTCCTGGTTCACGGAATGGTGTACAGAGGATAGCGAATGGTTGTCGGCGTTGCATGAGCCCAACCTGCACCAGGACAACGAAGAGGCTGACAAGAATGACGAGGGGCAAGAGGAGGACGACGAAGAGAGGGAGGAGGAGATGCTATGCGAGAAGGAGGACCAGGGAGAGGAGAAGAAGAAGAAGAAGAAGAAGAAGCAGAAGGAGAAGGAACAACAGCTGAAGGAGGGGAAGAAGTACAATATCATGGATAAGAATGAGCAGGAGAAGCAGCAGGAGGGGGAGAAGGAGGATCATGGGGAGGATGATACCTCAGTAGTATTCCTGAATTTGAATCGTACTCCTACTAGTCATAGATGTTCCAGCGAAAGCGATTGTGGTATTTGTGAGAGGTATTAGGACCTCGCTCCACCATTCACCACATGCAGAAAAAACACAAATTATGACTGTGTATCTTTCCATGTTCTGGCAGAAGATTCGTTCTCCTTTTGCACATTTGGTGAGTAGTGGAGCGGGGATAGTGAGTCTAGAAAAACATCTGCTATCATGATACTCAAAGATTTCCTAGGAAACTCTCTTTCGCCTTTTGTTTCTCTTTCTCTTGGGAAGTTCAGCTGATAGGTGCTGGATCAGTTAGACAGACTTTCGAGGTCTTAGACAAGAAGGATGGGCGGACGGAGGTACGTGACGGGTCTGGGTGCTGGATTCGTAATCGATGAGAAGGACGACGAGGGGGGGGGGGAGGTAATTAAACCTCCAGTACACCAGAAGAGTCTAGGTCTGATGATTCTCGATAGAGAGATCTTAGAAGAAGAAGACAGAGGGGGTGGGAAGGGTTAAAGCACCAGAACAGCAGATCCTAAATTTCAAACCTAACTTTTCCACACCCCAACGGACGGAACAAAGTTCCCGACGTCAGGATCGGAAGCACAAACCAATTGTATATTACAGCCTAAGGTTTCGGAGGAAGGGGATGCCGCAGATCTTTCGACGCTTTCGCCGGTGCACACGGAGGTCATTGTCAGGTTTGGCCAGCTGGGTGGAATGGGTTCTCAGTCAGATGATTCAGCCTACTGGGTGCAAAGAGCCCATGGTCAGGTTCAGTCTTCCAGGTGCAAGGGGGGTAGGTGGGTTACCAAGGTTAATTTTTAACTCTCGGCAGAGTAGATTCCAGTGTGTCAGGGGAGATTAATATCAGAAAAAGCAAACAAACTGGCCCCAAAGAGATTTTGGTGCAAACCGAATATACGTATGGTTGCTCCCTTCCTTGGAGTGAGCCCATAGGCCCGGTCATTGGTGCTGAGACGGCCACGCCCGGTTTCAGATCAGCTCAGGTTCGACAAAATAGGCTCCGATGTAGTCGTGGTTTAAACCACCAGTGCCTCCGAAAGTTGCGGCGGTATACAAGCCTCTACAATCATGAATGGACGGGCCACTATGGGAGCGACCAAATTCATCCGACTAGAACCTTCTAACTTATTATCTTTCCCAATGAACTTTGGACTTGGAGCGCCCAAATTGATCCGACTAGAAAGGTTATCCCAATTTTTCCTGCAGCTGATATAATATGGGAAAGGTACGGGTGGCTTAAGGTAATGGTGTAAATCCAAATCTTTAATGCCCTAGTGAGACATGTTAGATAGGCCAAAGTAGTACAAAGGTCACCCACATTAGGTTGCAGTTTAGACGACTAGATATTATGCTCTGTGAAAGATCGTCACTGTCCATATACCAGCAGAGATTCCCATTTAGAGAAATGATGTACAGGATTAGATTTAGAGGCCCTAGGCCCTTAGGCCAAGGCCCAACTGATGTTTGTACCTCGCCACTTCTACGACTAGGTTGACGCCTTCTAAGCACAAATATAGCACCTGAGGGGCCTGATGGAGCTGCGCCCAGCACACCCCTAACACAGTATGTAATCTAATACGTGCAGGATGGCCTAGCCGACCTCGCGAAGTGAGTCCCTACACCGGACTTCTTCAAAACAAGAGAAGGGGTAACTTCAGTAGAGTCACAAAAAAGAGTTATAATTGCACTATGGGGCAAGAATCCCGCAACATACAGTTTGCACTTGCACTTGTGGCACCCTACCTGGCCAGAAAGCTGGGTTGTATACATTGCCCGAACTGCTATTCGAAAGTGTATCTTGGGATTCTTGGCCCATAGTGGAATTATAACTCATTTTTGTGACTCCCACGTAGTTTCCCCCTAAAAAGAAAGGATGACCTTAGCTAGCTAGTAGCGGACTCAGAGCCTACAATAGAGTCAATAGACCATATCAGGTGTGGACTGAGGCTCTACCATCTTCTCCCCAACATAAGGCATATGCGTTGTAAAAGAATACAACACGTAAAGTGCCTTGTATTCATTTAATTTGCATATGCATTTTATTCGAGATGACCGACACAAGGGGGGGTCGGGTCCACGCTCAGTAGGCTCAGTTCTGGACCGTGGCGGAGGACCGCGGAGCACTGAAAGAAACTGAAAAAAAATGTTACTTTGTACCTTTCCATGTTCTGGCCAAAGATTCACTCCTTTTCCCTACTTGAGGCCTGGCTCCACTCCTCAACAAATGTGCAAAATGAGAATGAATCTTCCGCTAGAACATGGAAAGATACAATGCTGTGCTTTCTGTCTTTTTTGCTCTTGATGAGTAGTGGAGTGCAGCCCTCCTGAGTGGTGGAGTGAGGCGCGTCGTATCCCTCCTGGCGTCAAGCTTCCACTTTCTTGGCCACACTGCCAATTTCGAGTCTGCCAGACAGGGCGGTGGGCAAAGGGAAGGTTTGCACACACACACACACAGAGAGAGAGAGAGAGAGAGAGAGAGAGAGAGAGAGAGAGAGAGAGAGAGAGAGAGAGAGAGAGAGAGAGAGAGAGANGAGAGAGAGAGAGAGAGAGAGAGAGAGAGAGAGAGAGAGAGAGAGAGAGAGAGAGAGAGAGAGAGAGAGAGAGAGAGAGAGAGAGAGAAGGCACTGACTAAAGAAAAAAAAAAGAAAAAGGCAACATCTATTCGAATACAACGGTTTCTCTTCATGAAATTTGAATAGAAGGGATATGTTTTTATTCGAATAGAAAGCATATCCATTATCTTCGTCGGAGTGCCCTTTTCTTCGAAGAAAAGGGTCTAACTTTCCAAAAAAATGTTCTTATGTTCGCGGGCAGACGGTAGTTTACACCGGTAGAGCATGGTCTATATTTATGCCAGTCACTGTCTCAGTCCTAGTGAAGATCCCCCCTGGCCAAAGAGATTATGGGCCTGGATCCACTACTCACCAAATGCGCAAATTGAGAATGAATCTTCACCTAGAAGGCTAGAACATGGGAAGATGCACCTCCATATTTTTGTCTTTCCTGCATGTGGTTAGTGGTGGAGAGAGTTGGAGAGAGGCCCTATGACAGGCTGTCATATCTAGGAAAGTTCCAATAACCTGCGCTTTTTCAACAAAAAAAAAAAGCACTGAGGATTTCATCAACACACCCCTACCTGTCCCATCAGTAATGTAGGGAAAGTTGCAAAGGAGCAACCCTTCTGAAGGGTACATCATGGATCTTATTTTTTATACTATTATTATTATCATTCTTTTATAGGCATAATTTGTGAAACACCCCCATAAGTTGAGATATATGCCCAGAATGCTCCTGAAAGATGTGGGTAGAGTGGAATATCACCCGTTTGGGACGAAATGTTTGTGTTATGCCCCTGTCAGGCGGGTGTGCCAATTTGCAATCTGGACGACCTCCTCGTTTGGAACTTTGTCTTTTGCAACTGGCCTTAGGAAAGTTGGCAAGTTGGGGGTATTTTCCAACGTTGGATGATACCCGGGAGGGGTATATCACAAAGATGGGGGGTCCCACTGACGCGAGGGATATTTCACAATTTTTTTTTTTTTTGTCAGAGGGGTATTCTGTTCTACCCACATCTTTCAGGGGCATTTTGGCACATATCTCAACTTATGGGGGTGTGCTTCACAAATTCTCCCGTTTTTTCAAAGGTGGGACAGGGCTCCAATCTATTGGTTGCGACCAGCACGTACTGCGAGCCGGGCCCAGCGCCCCATATGGAAAAATACAGAGAATTTCGAAGTTTGGGACATCATCGGATCACGTCTTCAAGCGTTGGCCGTGTTATGGTCTGAGGGAGCGACGGCACTTCAAGAGTAGCCTGCATGTCATACCTTACGGATTAGTGAGCTGAAAGCCTTCTTTCTTTCTTTCTTTTTTTTTTTTTTTTTTTTTTTTTTTGAAAGCCTTCTTTCTCAGTTCCTGTACTGCAGTGTAATTAGATAAATAAAGTTTAACCTTTCAAGTTTCAACCCCCACCCCCATTTTTATTTTTTTTTAATTTTTTTATTTTTTATTTTTTTGTGAAACAACCCGAGCAAGTGCTCACCCCCCGGCCCCCCGTAAATTCAGAGGTATTTTAACTCACCTGATTCGGAATCCATCGAAATTTGAACTCAGGTCTATTAAGCAAACTCCTACAGCCAGATGCATACTCTACACGATCGGTACCTGGATACATAAAAGGCGAGATGCAGAATCGAGTAGTCCACGATCCCTACCTCTACGAGTTGTTGACTGGGGCCCTGGATGGGAAAAGTCGCTGAGGCTTGGCGCTGGGCCATTGCAACATGAATGCGCACTCCGATTCTTCTGCAGCGGTTGATAGTAACTGGATACTAGATAAGGGGATTTGTATTAAAAAAGAAAAAAGAAAAAAAAAGATAAGGGGATTTGTTGTGGGCCCATGATCGGCGTTATTAACTTAACTTAAAAGGGATGCGGAGCCATCATGTGAACTTTCCTAGGGGCTGCAGCTGTGCAACTAAACTCAGTCTGGAAAGACGCCTCGTTGAGCTCCAGTATCATGGACTTCATTTCATATTCAATTTCAATTTTTCAATTTGTTGCTTTGGATCCTAAATTGGAACTCTTTTTTTGTGTACAGTAAAAGTTAGTATACCCTTAAAAAAAAAAAAAAAAAAAAAAAAAAAAAAAAAAAGTTGTTTTATTACAAGACAAGAAGTACCGACATAGTGCAATGATCATGGAAGGTACATTCATAAATGAACTTTAATGAAACTTCAATGAGTCAGAGGTGCTGTGTGTCAATTGTTTGTTAAAGAAAGGGAAATTTAAAACAGAGAGAGAGAGAGAGAGAGCAAAAAACTTAACTTAAAAAAAAGGCTTCAACATTCCATAATCATGACAATACTTATTCAGTAAGATGGGGGTTGTTGGATCTCTTATGTGACCCCTACTTTGGTAAATCCAAAACAGACAACAAGATATTCGTCAGGTTTCAATCTACAGAGGGCTCAATGAATGGCAAATTCTAGAGATAAGTACTCATGAACACACACACACACACACACACACACACCAAAAAAAAAAAAAAAAAAAAAAAAAAAAAAAAAAAAAAAAAAAAAAAAAAAAACAAACCATGCAGTTACTGTAGTACTCGTCTTCACAAAGTTAACATGTTTCCCTGGTCAATGAGTGGTAAAGATTTTCGGAAGTGGGCCTTTCTTTTTTTTTTTTTTTTTTTTGCTTAAGTTATTCGGAAGTGGGACAGGTATTGAAATTGGAATGATACAGAGAACTTAGATTACCATGGCCGCTGCGCAATAATCACACGCGTAAATTGAGAAATGGGGGAAATTAAACAAAAAACAAAGAAAGAAAAAAAGATCATTCTGAAGTGCAGAAATGATGGCTATTTTTGGACTCACAAACTTTGAAGTCCTGGAAGCTCTTGGCTGCTACCAATCGCAGGTGCCCCTCCCCAGCAAATAGATTGGAGCTATCCTTACCCACAGACCTCAATCTGGGTGGTTCTTTCACCAACAACCGGATAGGAAAAAACACCACCACCACCACCACCACCACCACCAACAACAACAACAACAACAACAACAACAACAACAACAACAACAACAACAAGTCGCAAGTGCCCAGTTTTTGTCCAAGGACATTAATTTCTCCCAATTGTGTAAATGTGCTGCAGGAAGGCAGGTACATGAATAGCGTAGCTTCCGCGTATATGGCCAGACGCTGCGGAGATTCCCACCCCAGAATGGTGGTTGATAGTATGGAGACAGACCCATCAGCTGCCAGATGGGTTTAAACCGCCAGCAGACTTCTGCGTATATGGCCACACGCCGCGGAGGTTCCCAACCCAGAATGGTGGTTGATGGTATGGAGACAGACCCGTCGGCTGACAGATGGCCTTGAACCGCCAGTACACGGCCATACATCGGCTGTGGGCCCCTCACCGCGACTTTCAGAGGCCAGAAAGCGACACAGGCCGTTGATGAAATTTATAAACAGCAGCCCAGTACATGGCGAAGAGTTTATTTTCTGCAAGGCTGAGGCAGTGTACTGGTAGTTTAAACCACCAGTACTTTCTAATGTCGTGTCCGGTGGTTTTTAAACCACCGGTCCCCCCGCACTTAGAAACTGTCGAAGGACCGGTAGGCCGTGATCGCAATTTCTTTTGTCCGCCGACCGGCTTTTCGCGGCCTGCCGGGTCCCACCCCAATTTGTCGTTTCAGATGTGGGACCCGGTAGGTCGCGTGCTGAGGAAACCCGTCGTCGTAGCACGATGTCCTTGTTCATGCATCCGGACATGGAAGTGACCAGCCCGACACGAAAAAACGAAAAAACAAACAAAAACAAAAATAACAAAGCGTAAATCCACTTCGCTTTGTATTTTATTTTATTTGTTTTCCGATTGTTTTTTTTTTTT